AAATAAATAAACTTAAGAAAATTTTAAATAATGGTCATGCATATCTTATTAGATTTACTCCTAGAAACAAAATGATTTTTGTTGCTATTGCATAAGGTGTATTTTTTTAATACTACATTTTGTAACTGACTTTGGCAGATCACAGAAATGCTGCTATCTTTTGTGTATTAATCTTGAATCTAGCTACCTTACTGAACTACTTATTATGTTGTTTTGCCTATGGATAATCATATTACCTATGAATAAAGAGAGTTTATAACTCTCCAATTTAATAACCTTTTCCTTTCTTGTCTTATGGAGATAGCTAAACTCTAAAATAGTAATTGAAGCAGAAGTAGAGAAAGGAGATATCCTTATTTGTGCCTGATTTTAAAGAGTAGGTTTTAAAGTTTCACCATTAGGTATGATGTTTGTGGGGCATCTTGGGTGGCTCAGTTGATTGAGCATCCGACTTCAGCTCAGGTCATGATCTCACAGTTTAGGAGTTTGAGCCCTGCGTCAGGCTCTCTGCTGTCAACACACAGCCCGCTTCAGATCCTCTGATTCCCTCTCTCTGCTCCTCCCCCATTTGTGCTCTCTCTCTCAGTCTCTCAAAGGAAAAGAAAAGCAAAAAAAAAGTATGATGTTTGCCATAGATTTTTAGTAGATACCTTATCAGGCTAAGGAAGTTACCTTCTCTTCCAATTTTCTAAGAGTCAACATGAATAGTTACTTAATTTTATCAGGTTGTTTTTTTGAATCTATAAGAATTTCATATAGATCTTCCTCTTTAACTCGTTAATGAATTATTTTTAATAGATTTTATGTGGAGCTATCCTGTTTAGTCACGATATACCATATTTTCATACACAGTACTGCACTCAGTTCATTAATCCTTAACTTTTTTCCAGCTTTACTGACATAATTGACATTCACATTTTATTTTGGATTTTTGTGTTTACATTTACAAGTGAGAAGAACTTATAATTTACCTTTTTTATACTCTAACATTCAGGTTTTGCTGCCACAATTATAAAACAATTAGGGGATACAAAATATTGATTTAAAAGACTTCTAATTAATGTAGTTCAACAGAGTGATATTTTGTTTTACTTTGTGTTGATGTGTCATATTTACCAGATCAGTTGTTTTTGTTTTTGTTTTTTTTTTGAAGTACACTGGAGATGGGGTGGAGGGGTGGGGTGTGACTATGTTTTGGACTGATCCATTCTGACTTTGGAAAGGTTTGAATTTTTCTTTTTTGTTTGAATTTTTCAATAGCTTTAAAATGTATTCCTTTTCCACCCAAATTCCACTATAAGTGCTTCTCAGATTTGGATGAAAACTCATAATAACTTTTATTTTCAGAAAGCTTGATATTTTTTAAGCTCTTTTAAAAGTTTGGGATATTAAGATATGTTCATATTTGTGACTAAGAATGATCCAAGTGGGTCCCTAAACTGAAGGATTCCCTTTTAAAAAATTTTTTTCAATATTTATTTTTGAGAGAGAGAGAAACATCACAAGCAGGGAAGGGCTGAGAGTGAGGGAGGGAGACACAGAATCCAAAGCAAGCTCCAGGCTCTGAGCTGTCAGCACTGAACCCAACATGGGGCTCGAATTCAGGAACCGTGAAATCATGATCTGAGCCGAAGTTGCACGCTTAACTGAGCCACCCAGGTGCCCCCTAAACTGGGGGATTCCAATGGAGATGTTTGGTCAGGGATGATTATGAAATAATGACATTGACTACACCACCTTTCTAGGAAACTACGTGAATTCCGAGAGGGAAATAGTTGATGGAAAATGTAAAGATAATCATTTTTGATAGGAGGAATTGCATTTAGGTTTCATATCATGTAGTAAAACAGTACGTACACGTTTTAGACAATTCAAAATATTGAAAATTTAAAAAATATCAAAAATAAAGAAGTTAAGATCCTGATGAAAAGAAATGAAAGATGGCACAAATAAATAGATATTTTGGGGGCACTTGGGTGGCTCAGTAGATTGAGTGCCTGATTCTTGATTTCAGCTTGGGTCATGGTCCCAGGGTCATGGATCGAGCCCATCAGGCTCCATGCTGAGCATGGAGTCTGCTTGGGTCAGTCTCTCTCTCTCTCTCTCTCAAAATAAAAAAAGAAAAGAAGGCTATTTTGTGGTCATGAATCAGAAGAATTGTTAAACTGTTAAATTCATATTATCAAAATGTGCAGACTACTCAAAGCAATCTACAGATTCAAAGCAATCTCCATTGAAATTCCAATGGCATTTTTCACAGAGATAGAACAATCCCCAAATTCGTATGGAACTACAACAGACCCTGAATCGCCAAAGCAATCTTGAGAAAGAATAAAGCTGGAGACTTCATGCTCCCTGATTTCAAACCATAAAACTACAGTTACCAAACAGACGTTGACATTAAAACAGGCACACAGATCAATGGTACAGAAATAAAGCCATTCATATATGCTCAATTAATTTATGACAAAAGAATATACACTCAGGAAAGGACAGTCTCCTTAATGAATGGTGCTGGGAAAACTGGTCAGCCACATGCAAAAGAATGAAAATGGACCACTAGCTTAAACTTTACACAAAAATTAGTTCAAAATGGGTTAAAGACTTGCCTGCAACATAAAACTCCCAGAAGAAAACATAGGCAGTAAACTACCTGACACTGATCTTGGCAATGATTTTTTTGCATCTGACTCCAAAAGCCAAGGCAAAAAAGCTAAAGTAAACAAGTCGGACTACATCAAACTAAAAACTTCTGCACAGCAAAGGAAATCATCAACAAACTGAAAAGGCAACCTACTGAATAGGAGAAAAATTTATAGTGATGCCTGGATGGCTCGGTCGGTTAAGCGTCCAACTTCAGCTCAAGTCCTGAAGAGGTTCCAGGCTCTGAGCTGTCACAGAGCCCGACGCAGGGCTAGAACTCACCACGAGATCGTGACTTGAGCTGAAGTTGACGCTTAAACTGACTGAGCCATCCAGGCATCACTATAAATTTTTCTCCATTCAGTAGGTTGCCTTTCAGTTTGTTGTTGATGATTTTGCTGTGCAGAAGTTTTTAAATTTGATGTAGTCCGGGGACTTGTTTCATTTTTTAGCTTTTTGCTCTTGGTTGGGATGCAAAAAAAA